GTCCTGTTGCAGGGCCCAGGACAGTTGATCCCCATCATTGAGGAGACAACAAGCACAGACCGTCGCCAGGAGGTGGCCACCAACCTGCTCAAGCTCTTCCTGGGGCAGGGGCTGGCCAAGGACTTTCTGGACCTGCTCTTCCAGCTAGAGCTGGGGCGAACCAGTGAGGCTGGGGAGGAGCTGACACTGGACAGGGGAGGGGGTCCTTCTTAGCAGGCTGATGGTCCAGTGGAGAGGGCGAAAGCAGAGGTGGCACAGGGTTGGGAGGTGGCCGGGAGCTCCCAGGTCCTCTGTTCTCCTGCTCCCCCCAAGCCTTGTTCCAGCCCTCTGCCCACTGGGACCTCTGCTTGTAGGTGAGGCCAACACGCTGTTCCGAAGCAACTCTCTGGCCTCAAAGTCCATGGAATCTTTCCTGAAGGTGAGGCTACCTGGTATACCATCCTCATCTTGTAGGTGACATGACACAAAGATTTAGAAAGGCCAGTTTTATCTCTGTGCTCTCAAAATCATAAGAGTTCCATTCACTCACTTATGAAGAAGCAGTGTGTTGAGTCACCTGGTTGTGCACCTGGCCCCATCCTGGGTGGATACTGTGGGCAGATGGTGCACGGAGTGGCTGGGGAGATAGTGGGCAGCTGGACCGGGGAGTCTTGACCAGTGCGGCTCGTGGTGGCCCCAGGTGGCAGGGATGCGGTATCTGCACGGCGTCCTGGGCCCCATCATTGACAGAGTGTTTGAAGAGAAGAAGTACGTGGAGCTGGACCCCAGCAAAGTGGAAGTTAAGGATGTAGGGTGAGGCTGGTGGGAATCCCTGGGGGGCACAGCGGTGGGGAATCTGCCTTTCTGCAAGTGTGTGTTTACGGCTCTTTCTGCCTGGGTCTACGGGGTGTTGCTCTGCCCATCCGTGTGTTCTCTGTCCGTGTGCGGGTGCTGACCGCGGCGGTCTTGTCCACCTGCCTCGGCCCTCGCAGGTGCTCAGGGCTTCACCGCCCCCAGACCGAGGCAGAGGTGCTGGAGCAGAGCGCACAGACGCTGCGCGCCCACCTAGGGGCGCTGCTGAGCGCGCTCTGCCGCTCGGTTCGTGCCTGTCCCGCGGTGATCCGCGCCACCTTCCGCCAGCTCTTCCGGCGCGTGCGCGAGCGCTTTCCCAGCGCCCAGTACGAGGTGCGCCCCCTGCCGGCAGGACTGGGTCAGAGCTGACGGGGTGGGGAAGAAATCGGTGCGGAGGCGGAGCGGGGATGGGGCCGAAGGCGGGGCGGGGGCGTGGCCAAAGGGAGCGGACTGTCGGGAGCCC